GGGACTCTGAAATATCATCAGATAGCCTAAGATAAAAGAGGAGCAACAGGGGAGTGGAATTTGCAGGTGACAATTAGTTCATTCCTGCATTCCTGCCAAGTATTGCAGCCTCCGAAAGATATTGGCTTGGCCACTCTCCAAGCCTGATAAATTCGGTAATTGCGAACTATCTTGAAAGACTGCGCTGGAGAAGAATTCACTGTAAATTAAATACACCCCTAAAGACATTGCAACCAGCTTTTATCTTAGGCTATCTGATGATATTTCAGAGTCCCGAGTTGGTCCACAGATTAGGAAGAACAATAATAATCCTACATTTCCCTGCCAATTCCACCTCTCCTGCATATTTTGCACTTCCTCTTCACAAACAGTTACTCGGAAATTAAGCCAATAGGTCAGGTTTTAGCAGCAAAAGTCTGGATCCGATAATCCAATTAAGAATACCTGGAACTCTAACATGGATTTCCCTTTGTTGGACTCCAACATGAAGCGGAAAGCACCAATTCCTGTACTTGGATTATCTGCTTCCTCTCTGTTGCCCTGTTGGAAAGACAAACATTGTAGGTTAGGTTGGATGAGAGTAAAAGGACCATCTTTTTTGTGCAAGGTGGATTCCTACTTTAAGAAGAGTTTTCACAGAGCTGTAGTTTTGGGAAGTTAGTTGTATAAATATATGAATATTCCATAGGCTGTGATGGAGGTAGTGCTTAACTTATGACTGGTTGCTTAGGAACATCCAAAGTTACAACTGGCAACCTCTCAAAAAAGGGGGACTTACAACCTGGATTTGAAGTTCGCTTAACAAATTTTATGGGTTCACTTAACAATTGTCAGGAGGAAGAAGTCAGGAACTATGATAGAATTCAAAATACCACAAATTGATTTCATGCTATTGATACAATCTGAACTACTAACGGTCAAAGCAAATTGGAACCAGATAACAGACTTCGGAGGGTGGGGAGGGGCTGAACTTAGGACTCTTACAGGAACAAAGAGACTCCAAACTGATGATGCGTTTGACCCCACCTGGTTATCTCCTACAGCAACCACAGCATTTGCTTAATCTGCCATGGTGGCATAGTAGTTAGAATGCATTACTGCAGGGTAATTCTGCCGACTGCCAGCAGTTCGATCCTGATCGACCCGAGGTTGACTCATCCTTCCGTTCTTCTGAGGTTGGTAAAATGAGGACCCAGATTGTTGGGGGCAAGAGACAGACTTTGTAAACCGCTTAGAGAGGGCTGTAAAAGCACTGTGAAGCGGTATATGTCTAAGTGCTGTTGCTATGTTTGCTTAACGACCAACACAAAAGTTTGCACACGGAGCACAGTTGTACAATGGCCACTTTATGATCATCACAACGTACGAATGAACTTGTGGACTCAAATAGTGTTAGGCAGGAGAAAACCACTTCTAAAAATCTTGTCAATGCAAAAGGATGTTATTAGGAATTTTAAAAAAAAGATATTGAATGGGCCAAGGGTAAATATTGTACAGACACTTATAACTGGGAGAAATACACAACAATGGTTAAGCGACTTAGAGAGCCTAGAGAGCTGTTTAGAGGCCTTGCCAATAAAGGATTCCAGAAGGGTTCATAAAGATTTTTGAATTTTTTTACAACTGTTTCCCTACTAATTACAGGACCTTCAAAAGCAGTGATCAGCAACTGGTGGTCCATGGATCACTGGTGGTCTGCGAGAAAATTTTAGTGGTCTGCAGAAAAATTATTTGCATTTTTTATATTGCACTAAGTCAGAGGTCCTCAGACTACGGCCCCTGGGCTGGATACGTGAAATAAACACTTGTGTTGCTGCAGAGAGTCTCCCCCTTCGGGGTCTTTTTGTGGGGGTCAGAAGGGGACAGAAATTCTGATTTTTGGCTCTGCTTCAGCCTCCTGGTGTGGGGCTTTGGGCGAAGGCTGGAGGGAAGTGCTGCTGGTGGCAAAGAGCCAGAGGGCCTCGTTCCAGTGGGACTGCATCATGGCTTGGAACTGGCTGACCATCTCAGCCTGCTGAGTCTCCAAGGGCCGGCACCTGCTTTGCACTCCCACAGTTCTTCCCTCTGCTTGGAAAGCCTATACTCCTAGTCCTCAGTGAGGTGCTTCTGCTGAGCCTCCTTCTCGGTCAGATCCAATTTGAACTGAGCTGTTTTGCCAACTCTTTCTCGTGGTGGCTGCTCGGCTCCAGCAACTGCTTCCTGTTGGGGCCCTAAGACGCCCGGGCGGGTAGGCGAGCAGTGGCTGGGAGGGGAGGGGAGAGTAGAGGCTGGCAAGGTGCCCCTCGATGTGAGTGACATCAAGTTGGCCACGCCCACCCAGTCACATGACCCAGCCAGCCAGTCATTAAGCAGATCATATTACTGGTCCAT